AATGAGACCCTGACTCAGGTTGAGATGGACAAGGCCTCCTATTATCTTAGATTCCAGAACGTGGAGGAAGAGAGAGGAGAGAATTTACTGTTGGTGATGGCGGAGATGTTGGCAGAGCTTCTGAACAGAGATAGGGATGAGATGGTGAATGAGCTGGACGACGTATACAGAGTTTACATGAGCTACATGAGACAGCATAGACTCCCCAGAGAAGTGCATATTAGATTTGCAAGGAGGCGAGTGAAGGATATAATTTATAGAGTTACGAGAGATGAAGGAATAAAATACAAAGGTAGAGAAGTGATTGTTCTAAAACAGGTGCCGAGGAGAATTCACGAACAAAGGAAAGACTATCAATTTCTCACGAATTATTTAAACAAAAAAAATATATCTTTCAGATGGATTACCCCAGAGGGTATAGTAGCAATATGGAAGGAAAAAAGGGTGAGAATAGATAACCTAACCAAAGCTCAAGAGTTCTTCGACCGAATAGGAGGAATAGAGGAAGAACTGAGCAACAGAGATGATCATGAAATTCTGAGCCAAGAAGAGCTACAATCCAGAAGCAGGGGGAGGGAGAAGGAGAGGGAAGGAGATGAGGAGACATTGGGAAGAGAAGAAATAGGAGTGAGGACGAGAAGTCAAACGACGGGTAAAAATATTGAGGGATAGAAGTAGGAAAGGAATGGATAAAGGAGTTAATTTGATATCTATAAATATTAATGGGTTAAATGACCCAGCTAAGAGAAAAAGAATATTCTTTAAACTAGAAAAACAAAAAGCGGATATAATATGTATTCAAGAGGTTCATATAAAGAATACAGATAAAGGGTACCTATTAAATAAAAAGTTGGAGAAAATGTATGCAACATTGGCAGAAGAAAAAAAAGAGGGGTAGTATTATATATAAAAGAAGATATAGCTTCAGAATTGATTTACAAAGATGAATTAGGAAGAATAGTAATGGTAGAAGTGGTAATACAAAATAAAAAGACATTATTGGTGGGGATATATGCCCCTAACAAAAACCAAAGTTAATTTTACAAAAACCTATATGAAAAATTAATAGAATTTGGAAACCCAAGAATTTGCATAATAGGAGACTATAATGCAATAACAGATAATAGACAATCTCTGGCAAATACAATAAATCAAATGTGCTGTGCTGTGCTGTCAGCTCCATGTATGTCTGAATCCGTTCCTATATTTTGAATGAAGTCTATTACTAATTTCATTCCTGATACTCAAGGTTGTTAATCAATTCTCTAGAGATTTCTTGAAACCAGCTTTTAAAAAATATATTTGCAAGTACACTTAATTACTTTTGAGAAGTGTGCTGTCCAGCCCGTTATAGTTAATGGGAATTGGTGTAGTTAAGTTAGTAATTGGGAGCTGTCCCCTTAAGGGAATGCATCATGGTAAATGTAGTTAAGGTATCCTGGGAAATGTAGTTCATGTCATGTGGCCACATCTGTAATCCTGAGTGGTCACTGAATTGACCCTTGGTGGGTTGAGGGAGGTTTCTTCACTCTTACTTGGACCCCAACAGCATTTTGGTGCTTCCAACCTTTGCTCCTTCATTATCAGGATGAGAGATAACCATCTTTTTACCCAGAAAGACAGATATGCAAAGAATTGGACATTGAGAAGAATCTCTTCATAAGTGTGAGTTATCTTTAGGATGCCTGATGAACCAATAAAAAGACTTTGTATGGATGCTTTGTGGAGTTATCTATCTGCCTTTATACATTCAGTCAGTAATTACAGAGGACAGAATAAGAAGTCTTTGATATTAACACAGAATTGTAACTGGAAAAAAATCAGGCAGGAACTCTTTTTCCATTTCCATTTGAAGGGATCTTTAAAATTTGCCTTTGTTTTAATGGTAAACTTGATAAGTAGTCAGTGGTAAAATAAAAAACAACATGACTCCCAGGATTGCAGTAAATATTGTGATGGTTCCCACAATTTGTTAAAAGTCTTTAAATTTCCCAAGTAGGATGCTTAGAAGGGGCAGTAATGTAAGATCTGAATATTGCAACAATTCAGCATACCTATTACTAGGGGTGTCTTGCAGGATGTGATTTTAAAAGTTAACATAACACAATTAAAGATTGCAACATTGAATGCAATGTCACGACATCACCTTTAGTTTTTAAAGCCTGAAGACACGGCCATTATTCAAATCCTATTTCCTTTCACTTCTGTGCTCTGTTGAAAACAGATAGAAAGGGAAAGAATAGCTGACTTTTAAATCATTTTTGCAGCTGACCTGAGATTCTGGAAGATAACAATAAGAGAAAACTCTTAATTTTTTCCCCTTAATGATAGCTTTTCTAATTCTCTCTGAAAACAGGTAACTTGATCTGGTTGCCCTCGAAAGAAGCTGCCATTTTTATACAGGTTTTGTTTCTGTAGGAAACTCTGCCACTCGAAGCAAGAAAAATTATTTTAATCTAGAACATACAGTGATATAGGAGATTAGTTTCATTTGGGACCGAGAATTAAGAACAATGTTTTATTACTAAGGAAAATATTCAAATCCATCAGGACAAATATGCAGAAGTAAATTGCAAGAAAGGAAACAGCCTCTGTGAAATATTAATATTATTATTTCCTAATTTTAACATTTTTGGGGGAGGATGGATGCATTGCTTTTAAGCTTTTCATTCCTGAACTTTATTAAAGCTATTCATTGGTCCCACTATTAAGACAGTGGGTGAACTTTATTAACGCTGATAATTTTCTATTAAAAATATCAGTGGCAAGTTATCACCATTTATCTTTATACCTTACTACCCTGTTTCTCCAACAATACGGCCTCCCCCAATAGGAAGTCCCAGCATGTTTTATAGTCATGAAATGAAATTAAGCCCCTCCCCCAAAATTAAGGCCTATATTAAAACATGCGAAATGGGGGGGAATGGTGGGGGGGCTTGCCGTTAGGAAGTACTTTTGTTGCACACCTGGATATGGTGCTGCCTGCGTTGACCCCGATACGAAGTGCCCCACCAACGCCGAGGTCAACATCCAAGCCGTCGCCGCCCACCCGAAGATGCAAGGGGGGGAAATTAAGTCACCCCCGAAAAGATGGCCTAGCCATTTTTTCGGGGCTCAAAAAAAATAAAATAAGACCCAGCCTTATTATATGAGAAACATGGTAGTATAGTTCAAAAAGATTCAAACCTGACATTTTTTTAAAAATAGTATCCTCTCATCATGACAGTTATAAAAATAGTTCTGTGCTCTAATACTTCAAATCCATAGACATTATAATAGGGAATTAGAAGAATAACTTACTGTCCTTGAATGGTGTGAAGTTAAGATATATCCAATGCGACTGTTTATTCTCAAATTCAGCTCGAATTCTTAAATTAGAAAAACTGTATTTAGGTATATTTGAAATATTGCACTCTGTGAAGTATGTCCTTTGGCACAAGTCAATGAATATTGACCTCAAACTATTTTTAAAAAAGGAAACAAAATTAATTATGAGAATAAAAAGCTTTCTTTCATATGCTGAACAATAATATTCATTTTCAGATTTATCTTATATCAACAGAAACATCTTATATTGATTAAAAGGAATATATGTATGCCTATCTACTAAGAAGTCCAGTTCTTTTTATTCAGGATAAATTTTAGATAAAAATTAAGGCTGAACTTAATTTAATTTAATTTGATAGTTAATTTGTGATGTAGTATATTACATAGAAAAGTATTTTCTTATTTATATTCTTTTTAATTGAAGCAAACAACATTATCAAATTAAGATGAAAATGAATAAAAAAAAAGGACAAAGTTAAATATGAATCACACACATCCCAATAAAAATGTTTAAAAGTTAAAAAGCAATTTACAGAATTAACAACAATATTAAAGATTTCTACCTTCAGGTAAATTTGTACAAATGAAGATAATATTCTAGAAAATGGTTGTTAATATCTATAAATGATGAAGATATTTCAGTGAAGTTATTCTTAATTGTAAAGTTCCTCCAAAATCTTTGTATTCTGAATGTACTTCTTCATTGATGGGATGTATACTATGTGCACAATTATCAGGCAAGTGAGTATTTTGACCATATCATCATTTTTATTCATATTTTCCACCTTGAAGCTGTATAAACTTGAATGCCTAGTGGATATAAGCATACCAGGTGATGTGTATTTGTGTAATGAGGGAAGGTGTGGCTTAAGGCGATCAACACCCTATATCCAAGTGTGCATAATTATTAGGCAGCTTCTTTTCCTCAAAGCGGGCCAAAAAAGAGATTTAACTGACTCTGAAAAATCAAATCTGTAAAAAGTATTTCAGAAAGATAGAGCACTCTTGAAATTACTAAGGTATTGGGGCATGATCACAGAACAATCAAACGTTTTATTGCAAATAGTCAACAAGGCCTCAATAAACGTGTTCAGAAAAAAAGATGAATATTAACTGCCAAAGATTTGAGAAGAATCAAATAATAAATCAAATAAGTTACCAGTAACCCATTATCCTGCAGTGCTGTCATATTTCAGAACTGCAACCTACCTGTAGTGCCCAGAATGACAAGTGTTCAATGCTCAGAGACATGGCCAAAGTAAAGAAGGCTGAAACCTGACTACCACTGAACAAAACACATAAGTTGAAACAGCAAGACTGGGACAAGAAATACCTAAAGACAGATTTTTCAAAGACTTCATGGACTAATGAGATGAGAGTGACTCTTGACAGACCAGATGGATGTGCCCATGGCTGGATCAGTAATGGGCACAGAGCTCCACTTCGACTCAAGACGCCAACAAGGTGGATGTGGGGTATTGGTATGGGTTGGTATTATTAAAGAGGAGCTAGTTGGACCTTTTCAAGTTGAAGATGGACTCAAAATCAACTCCCAAACCCACTACCAATTTTTAGAAGACACTTTCTTCAAGCAATGGTACAGGAAAAAGTCTGCATCTTTCAAGAAGACCAAGATTTTTATGCAGTACAATGCTCCATCGCATGCATCAAAGTACTCCACTGCGTGGTTAGGTAATAAAGGCCTTAAAGATGAAAGAATAATGACATGGGCCCCTTCCTCACCTGACCTAAACCCTATTAAGAACTTGTGAGCCATTCTTAAATGGGAGATTTGTGGTGAAGGAAAACAGGACACCTCTCTGAACAGTGTCTGGGAGGCTGTGGTTGCTGCTGCACAAAAATTTGATCGTCAACAGATCAAGAAACTAACAGACTCCACGAATGGAAGGATTATGACTGTAATTGAAAAGAAGAGTGGCTATGTTGGTCACTGATATTTTTTTTTGTTTTAAATCAGAAATATTTATTTGTACATTGTTTGTATATTATTCTCACTTTAACAGATGCAAATAAACAAAAGAGATGGGAAAATTTTCATTTTACATTTAGTTGCCCAATAATTCTGCACACATGGATATTTTCCTAAGAAAGCCAACACTTCAGTTTTACTTTCTTAAATATTCAGGTTTGAGATTTATTAACATTTGGGCTTGACCAAGAGAACTGTAGTTGTTCAATAATACAATTAATCCTCCAAAATACAACTTGTCTAAGTAATTGTGCACAAAGTGTATGTTGTATTGCAAAGTAGTCTCTACATTAGAGAGCCTAGCTTGCATAGAATATTATGGACATGCTTTGAGTATGCGAAGATTTGTGGCATACTGGCCAAATCTGCAAACCTGCTTATTCTGTCCTTATCATTAACCCAACTGACTCTTTTTTTAAAAAATAAGGGAAATGCTACAATAAATCTAAATGAAGGTGACTTCGTATTATGGAGTACAGCTGATAAATAATTGCATGGTGAGAGGTTTTGAATGTGGGACAGACTATTTTTGATAATATCAGAAGTGGATCTGTGGGAAAATAGACTTGAAAGAAAAGGAAAGTAGTGAAAGAGAGAAATTTGAGTGCAGGTAGTCCCTGACTTACGACCACAATGGAGCCCAAAATTTCTGTGGCTAAGTGAGACATTTATTAAGTGAATTTTGCCCCATTTTATGACATTTCTTGCCACAGTTGTTAAGTGAACTGCTGTAGTTGATAAGTTAGAAATCTGGCTGTTAAGTGACTTTGCTTGTCAGAAGGTCGCAAAAGGGAATCACATGATTTTGGGATACAGCAATGGTCATAAGTATGAATCATCCTGGGGATGCTGCAGAAGGTTGTGACTCGTAAGTGTGAAAAACAATCATAAGTCATTTTTTTTCAGTGCTGTTGTAACTTTGAACGGTCACTAAACTGACTGTTATAAGTCAAGGACCACCTGTAATTGCAAAAATTATGACTAGAAATTACGTGAACTAGTGGTAGAAATTGGTTAAGCTCCTAACAGAATTAATGCAAAACATAAAGAAAGTTAATGAGGAAGCTGTTACAAAGTGTCTGAAAAGTGCCTGGAGATACACTAATGGAAAAGCATGAAAAAGGATGCTTTATAGGCTAATGAAATGAAAGAGGCTATGTATGAGGAAAAATGGATAAAAGAGAATGATTGCTAAAATGATAATGAAAGTGACGTTTTGCAATAAGCCTCCAGCAGAATGAATATAGTTAAAGATTAAGGTGAAATTATTTGGGTGAACTCAAAGTGAAACAGTGCTAGAAACATATGTTACAGATTTATGTGAGTTTAACAGTGTTGTATTGAATAGTAAAAGAAAAGGGAAAATGGAAAAGAAGTCAACTACTATGAGAATGTTTTTAAAAATGGCAAAGCTTCATGTGCAGGTGGGATAACTGGAAAAGTGTTAAAATCTTTGTAGAGTGGCTGAAGATGAGTCTTAAAATGAGTCTGAAGATTCCATCTCTGCCTGACAATTGGAAGAATGCCAATTGTTATTGTTATCTTATATAAAGGGGGGGGGGAGTATCAGTGTAAAAACTGAAGAGGAGTTAGTTGGTTAAGAATTCCTGGAAGTTGTTTGAGAAAAAAAAATATTGAAAGGATATAAGGAGGAAGCCAAATTTGGGAAGCAAACGTGTGTTGATTTAGAGAAAGTATAGGATAAAAGCAATAAGCTTCAATTATGGAACCTTTTGTATATAGTGATAAGAGCAGCATATGATGAGAAAATAAGTGGTACATTTGGTGAATGGTGAGGAGGGAATAAAGCAAGAATAGGTAATTTGCTCTAGGCTGGTTAATGCATTCATTGACAAATATGCAAAAAATGCATAGTGTTGTTAGAGATGTGCTTATTAGGGACACAAAGGCATGCACTTTTGTATATATACAAAAGTGGATTGTTGGCTGAGAATTCAAATGATTTATATAATCATTTGAGTTCTCAGATTTATAAAGGCTCAGTATACAGTGTAAGATCAGCCAATCCTAAAGAAAATCAACCTTTGGAAGGACAGATCTTGAAGCTGAAGCTCGAATACTTTGGCCACCAAATAAGAAGAAAGGATTCACTGGAAAAGATCCTGATGTTGGGAAAGATTAAGGGCAAAAGGAGAAGGGGACAGCAAAGGATGAGATGGTTAGATAGTGTCATCAACCCAAGGGACCTGGGAAACCCCAAACTCTGGGAAGAAAAGGGGGCCTGGTGTGCTATGGTCCAGGTGGTCGCCAAGATTTAGCAACTAAACAATACAATATAGTATAATTCAATATGGATTAGTGATCTGTAAATTAATGTATCAAAGATAATTACATTGGTCGAAAAATGTCATGGACATGTGATAATAAATGCAACAAACTGCAGCAAGTAGATTAATTTTTATGCCTTTGGTCTAAAAGACCCATTAGGGCTTATTTTGGGGGGATGTCTTATAGGCACCAGCAGCCCCATCCAGCAGGAGCCCACACACCCACCCACTCTGTCCCACTGTCTGGCTGCTCGCACCCACAACAGAGCAGACAGCCATATGGTGTGCCACTGCTACCACAAGGTCAGGCGAGGCAGGTGGCTGTGGGGTGGAGTTGCCCCATGCACCCATACCCATGCACCTCAGGACCTCTGCAGACAAGCCACCCATGCCCCACCACTTGCTCATCAGGTGCCAATGCTATGGAAACATGGGGTCATTAAAGTGCAGGGTGCACTTCGAGCACTTGAGACGACACTGGACCACATGCCACTCATTGCAGCGTGCTGTGCGAAGAGGGCCTCGACATCCCCTTGGACCACTCTGGGAGCCCAGTTGAAGGTGCTTGCAGGCCGGTAGTGGCCCTTGATCAGATGCGTCTCCTGGGCGAAGTCAGACCAGGTCCTCTTTGAGACTGGTCAGGCGCATGGGACACGCCATAATTTGAGGTAGGGCTTGTATTAGGCACATGCTTAAAATTATACTAGGGCTTATTTTCGGATTGGGGCTTATTTTCAGGGGAACGCAGTAATAATGTATTTTTCTTGTACTTCGTTGTTTGTGAGTGGGAATTAGATTGTTAGCAGGAACATAAAAATAATGTGAATGCAATGTGTCTAGTAAAATAAGATGAGACAAGAGTCAGGGATAAATGTGAATTTCAAAAGTGGTTTGCCATTGCCTGCTTCCTACGGCTCAGAGTGTGTGACTGGCTCAAGGCCACTCAGCTGGCTCTGTGTCTAAGACAGGACTAGAACTCAATCTGGTTTCTAGCCTGGCATGTTAATCACTACACCAGACTGATTTTTTTTCCCCACACTTTACTTGATGTTTACTATTACCAGCTCCTCATAATATATTGATAGTTTGGGTAGAAATATTAAATTAATTAATTTTTAATGTCAAAAAGTTGAGGCAATAGGGATAGATCCATACACCGTTCCTATCATTTTCAGCTACAAGGCATTTTATCTTTTCTTTGTTGTTTCATCCTTAGCAGATATTCTCTGTTAAGATGTAAAAAAAGCAATCTGAAGAGGTCACATGTGAAGACATCATAATTATATCTCCATAAAATACTTGATATATTTGATAATATACCTGATATTTTGTTTTTTAAAGTTGGCTGTACATGTAAAGTTCATCCAATTCTGGAATATAGGTTATCCTAAAATTAATGTTTGTGGTAAACCATCACTAGTTTCTTTTTAAAAGGTTACAGAACTTTTGGAATATATGCACAATGTAATTCAAATTTCATATTATATGTTGTTATCCAAAGAAATTTTCCTCCCATATAAATAGATGGGAAAATAAATTTAGAGAATAAGCTGAAATATATTTTCAATTGTATAAGAACATGTGAATAGCATAAAAGAAACAAATTACATTTTTCATATGTAGTATGAAAATTATCCATTCTTACATTTACCTTTTATATTGAATTGTATAAGTTACATTTCCTTCAGAAAAATTTGATGGATCCCATAGGAGAACACTGTTAAGCATAACTGAATTTAATCGTATGTTTTGAGGCTCTTGGATAATTGCATGTACTGTAATATGAAAAAAATATTGTTCAATGCATGATTTTGACATTCTTTCATTGACAGCACAAACAATTCACACATATCTAGATAGATAGATAGATAGATAGATAGATAGATAGATAGATAATTATTATATAGTGATGTAATTTCCCAAAATTTTCAACTGCAAGTCTCAGCTGGTTAATAAAGAATAAACACGGTGTTGAAACTCTGAATCATATTGCCATTTTGAAGATTCCTGAAAATAGATTCCTGTGGTTTTTCACTTCAGAGGCAGAGCGTAACAAAGTTATCATCATCAAAAGGAGGTTTCTGAGTTTAGCAATCTCCTGAATGATATGACTGGAAACTGGTTTTGTCATTACCCAAATGCTACCAAATGAATATGGAAATAGAAACCCAGATAGATTACATCATAAAGCCTCTGGTAAAAAGCACTTTTAAAAACCTTTTATCTTTGTTGCTGCTGCTGCAGATAGGAATGATCTTCTCTTGGGAAATAAATGAATAGAAGAGAAACCAGGATAGCACCCGTTTTCACCAATATAGGGAGTGCTAGTGCTGAAGTCTCGGTCATTTTATGGATAATGGATCTTTACGCAAATGCTTGTAAATGTTCCTATCCTACTATCCAGAGTCTATTTTGTTGTATGATATATACATATCCCATCTGAAAGTAAAAAACAAATTGGGAAAGGTGGGGAAAAAAATGTTTCAATCTGATCAACTACCGATATGACTTCGTGATTAGTTTTACTACTGTAAATGGTCGTGTATGGGAAAATATATATTTTCTTTTTTTGACCATCATTCCACTGTTTTATAGCAGAATGTTTCTATATAATTCCAAGCATTTTGAGATCTGACCAAGCTAAATCATATGGAAGCTTTGATAGCTTTCTGAGATGTTGGCTCGATATTTTGATGATGAAATCAATCATATTGCCATGCCTGTTTATGCTGTGCATTCTGCAAAGATATACAAAACACATTCTGGGCCAATATCTTTGGTAAACTTTCAGTCCTGACAACGAGGAGAAAGTAGGTGGTAAAACATGTGTTATTCTGCCCTTTTCACCTCATGGCTTTTTACATTTAATGGAGCAGGTTATAAATTCCTCTTCATGTGAAAGAGGTGTTCTATCCAGCAAATGTGGCCATAGAAGAGAATATTCTTCTGACTCCCAATCATTGGATCAGAAGATTTGAACTACAAGATTGAAGCTAATATCCCTTCTCTGGGCAACACGCTTGAATTAATGGTGATTAAGTTCAGAAACTGTTTGAACAAATGTTCTAAATTCATCTAGTTGGGGTTCCGCCCACTTTTGACACTAAAACTGCCTTGACCACATTGTGGAAAGAGAGAAAAGGATTTTTTCCCCCTTCTTTCATAGGAAAGGCTGCCTGTTGTCACTCTAATGGGTAACATAAATTTGAGCCATGGAGAAAAGTTTCTTGGGGAGTGTTAGGGATAACATTGTTTACCCTAACTGGTTTGGGTAAAAATAATAAATATGGTATCATGGTTTGTTAGTTAAAGTGTGTGTAACTTTAACTGCAGGAATGTAATTAAGGGTGTGGTTGTAAAAGCACTATATAAGAAGCGAGGCAATTCCAGCTCTCTCTCTCTCTCTGGCTTACTGATCCCTAATTACTGGTTGATTGATGACTGCGTTCTTGCTGAAACGGGGAGAGAATAAGGAGGAGAGAAGATAAAGATTGGACTGATTTATTGTAAGTGAACTGACATTGGCTTTTCAATACGGACTTTGCAAATAGAGTATCCCCGACAAGACTTGACTGAAATGATATATGACTACTGGACTGTTTATTATGACTATGCTCTAATTCTTAAATGGAATAAACTATATTCTTGATAGCACAAGCGTATCTGTATTTTTACTGCGTGTTAACTAGAAAACTTATCTCACATATTTACCTGTCTTCCTATCTGACTTCGCTGCATGTTCTGTTTAGTTTGTTTTCCTTAACACTCGTTGGGGAATCCAGGCTTAACAGGGAGGGCATGTAAGGTATTAAAGGGATATTTGGGGATATTTCCGGAAACTCACCATAGGCCGAAACATATGGCTGGGTGTCATTAGCACATTGATAATATCTCAGGCCATGATGGCAGATGATCTCACCCAGCAGCTTCACATAATGTTAAACAGAAGAGGAGAAAATACGGAGTCTTGCGGAACCCTGCAAAGCAGGGGATAAGGGCCAGACCTCTCTCTTCCTATCAACATCCAGAGGTGCTTTTTTTTTCAAGAGGCAACTGGACTTTCTTTCTTTTTTTGTTTAGTTTGTTTTTTTGTTGAAGACACTTCACTTCTCATGCAAGAAGTTTCTTCAGTCAGAACAGAGGAAGGAAGTGAACCAGGACAACACAGAACCTCCCACTTCCAACCCCCAAGCCACTCCAGAAGGATAGCATGGTTGGTGGGATGGACGGCTGACAGTAAAATGGAGGTAAAAGCATTCAAGGAAGTGTCTTTAGTCACCAATTAGACATAAGTTCAATAGGAGACTTACTGAGCAGGTCAGAACCTTTACTTATCCGGGTGTTCATTTTCAATTTTCCACTTGCTGGACTAATCAATTGAATGAGCTTAATTTAAGAGCCCAAAGAGCATTATTTGTAATTAATAAATATGCGAATATAGTACTGTAATAACTATGCTCCCGAAGCAATTAAATTAAACTTGTATCTGTGATGCTTACTTGTCCACCTATAAGAATATTTGCAGTTAGAAACCATCAAATCCGATTTCCTAAAAGCTTATCACACATCCCTTATTCAGCTACCAACAGTATTCTATGACTAGAACTATGAGGTTGCCTTAGAGCAGGGGTGTCCAACCTTGGCAACTTTAAGACTTGTGGACTTCAACTCCCAGAATTCCTCAGCCAGC